GAATATTATGGAGTGAGGTCAGTTTTATTTTAGTACTTGTCTTCCATACAATATCACCTGAGTTGTTTTTAAATTTTTCAGAATATGGAAAACATCAAAGCCAATAAGAGATAAATATTTACTGATACTCTTTAACTTTCCTTTTTGCAGAGATATCAACATTGTCTTTTGATTGCTCCTACTCATCTGTGATATATGGAAATTGGTGCCTACATTGCTGCATTAAAAGCACTCACATATCATTACTGAGATTTACATATTAAGCATACCACAGAGATGTTAATCTGTCTATTTTATGTGCAGCTGTTATCATTAGTCAGGCTCTGGATGCCTATGAAATATCCAAATCATTTCCTGGGACTGTAAAAATTTAGATATGCAGAGATTAGAGAGAAGGACTTATGTCTAGTGTAGCTGATGTGCAGTGTTTAATGTTAAGAAATCAATCTGATGCTTCAAAAAGCCTACTCTTGTGCCATAAAGTCATTGTATAATGTGACCATCGCTTAGATAAAGCACACTATATATGACAGATGTGAACTACACATCAATATCCATAGCCCTGACTAAACAAAGGACTGAGTCCATGTCACACAAGCAGTTTTGCAGTACCGATTTTTAGCAGGTATAGAATTACTGTCTTTAGGAATATGCCACAAAATGTTTTCATTTATACAGGTCATGGCACACAGCTATTAGTAATTAGTCATATGCATCTGCTAGTGATCATGGTGCACCATCAACTTGTAGCTGCAGAGAAGCTGTCAGCAACAGCAACAATTCTGTACCTACAAATAGCCAGAGAAGATAACCAGCACAATCTGAGGTTGCTACCAATCTCTGCTCAAATTTACTAAGGCCCTAAAACTGACTGTAGACATTGGATGATGGTCCGATATCAGCAGGAAATCTGACCTCTTATTGCTCTGTCATTCTCAACATAGAAACATTAGAAAAATAAATACACCCAGTCCCCATACCCAGATTAATCATATTTGGACATCTGACATATTTGGACAGTCCTATGAAAATCACAAACTGTTGAAAAGTCTCATCTTGTATTATATGAAAATGCTTATTTTGTGGAATGTAAAACATATACACCCACTGAAATAATAGACCGTCCATTTCAAATTTTCCTGGCTGTAGAGATGTCTGTGGAGATGTAAGATAAAAATATCTATATACAGTTCAGTGTTGTTGTCTTACATCGGTCATCTAATGTGTTTTGGAACCGCAACACTGGTCATAATTTGATATTCTTCACCTCTCAAAACACAATAGGCTCAAATCACAAATAAGGATGGGGGTCTTGAGGGATCCCTGGGATTTGTAAAGTTTGTAGCTGAAAGAAGTTGCAAGTCCACAGCCAGAAAAAAGAAACAACCTATAATGCAGGGCATAGCCTTTGCCCCTGGTCAGCTGAGTCACAAGGGCTAATCATTTAAAGAAAGAGATAACAAAATCGCCTTTCTAAAGAGGGGAGGCTCCCAGCAGTGTGTGTTGGCCATGTAGGGATAGAGATTATTTATTTATGTTGGTGTTGTCCCATGTTCCCAATGGCAGTGCCTGGCTTACTATGCCTTTTGTTTTATATTATTATTTTTTTATTTATTATATCTAATTACGTATATATTTTGGAGATTAGAGTGATGCTAAACGTTAAAAAAAAACCAATTAAACATATCATACTTACTTGCTTTGTGTAGTGGTTTTTCACGGAGCACGGAGCAACCCCGATCCTCCTCTTCTCCGATCCCCTGCCAGTGCTCCTGACCCCTCCCCCCTGCTGAGTGCCCTCAGATCAAACTACTTGATCTGGGGGCACTTGTGAGGCTCACCCCCCCCCCCCACATACACATACACTCCTGCCTCAGTGGCTGTGATCAACCAATGGCTCCCGCTGCTGTGTCCCAGCCAGTGGGAATGTAGACTTTGGAGAGCCCCTCTTCTCATGAACATCGATGGATCGGGATCAGGCTCAGGTAAGTATTGGGGGGAGCTGCACACTGAAGGATTTTACCTTCATGCATAGAATGCATGAAAGTAAGAAAAACTTCAGCCTTTAGAATCACTTTAAATATAACAGTATGTTAAGAATATTCTTTATGCCTTTTTAATTTTAGTAGCTTTAAATTTTACAAATTATTATAGTGATTACATAATTTGTCATTTATTTTAATGCTACTGCTGTATCAGTGATGTTGTTAAGGATAGAATTAATATTCATGTGAGAAGATGATTTTAATTAAGTGTGGATGGGTCTTTGTGAATATGTTGAGTATTCAGTTTGTTATTGTGATATGCCTGAAGAGGGAACAATGTTAGGTTCAAAACGCGTTACGTCTTTTTTATTTCATCCCAGATTTCTGTTTGGTCTCTTCATGGATTAAAGTAATGATATCCATCTAGAAGTTTTTCTCTACTATTTACAATATAAATCTATGTATAGGGAGATTTTTCAGATTGATCTACTGAGGATATTTTTACATGAGAGGCTTTAAATATATACAGCTTGATTGCCAGTTGGTACACATTACATGTGATCTCAGCCATTTAAAGGTTAAGTTCACCTTTTAACAAAAAAATAATAAACACACGCACATTTTTTTTGCAGGTAAAAAGGGCATTTATTATTTTTTAATTTCTGGAGCCTGTAAAGTATTTCATCAGCAATTAGCAGATAGCTGGTGAGCCATGCAGGTCTCCTGCAGACCTGGCAGTGTATCTGTCTGCTTGTACATCCCGTACGGGCAAGCAGATACTTACTGACAAGACTCAATGAACTACCATAGTGCCATGGTAGTTCATTGAGAACTACAAGCCGAGAGGCGCAAAGGCTGTCAGAACTTGTAGTGTTCTCATTTTCGGAATTCTGTAAATGAGTGATGCGTCCAGGTGGGCGGAGCCCCGCACAGCCATTTTTTTTTATTTTTAGGTTGCAGATCCCCCGCTAGCTGTCACAACTGGGATCTGGGGAGTGCGGAGGTCATAGCATGTTACATATTAGAAGAAGAAGGGCTATGACAAGCATAGTGTCTCCAGGCATTTTAAACTTAAACATAATAGTGACACCAGTTTATTGACCTTTTATGGAATAGATAAAATCAAAAGACATTGGAGGGGTACTGACATGATCAATGAGACCTCCAGAAGGGAGACGTTTTGGATATATGAATTAAATTCTTTAAAACTGAATGGTTTGAATATCGACATTGATTTAAATTGTTTTCTGACCAATTTTTGATCAAATTTTGTGAGCGATTTTTTTGATCTAATTTGTTTTATCGGTTTTTTTGATCGAATTTTCTTCCTTTGTTGATGGTAAATTTGTAGACCATCCTGTTGTATACAATAATGATTTATTTCAATTGGAAAATTAAGATTGATTTTTTGGTCTTCTATACAAATTGATATTATTATTTAGGGTGGCCACTTAACAGCATGTAGTCACCTAGTTGATTATTACAGACCGATAAATATCATTTAATTATATTTTTTATATTTGTTTTTTTGGAATATGCATCAGCAGATATTATATGTTTATTGGTTTTTATATTATTTGACATTATTAATTATACTGGCCCTTTAAATAATAGGGGGTCATATAGTGATTATATATGTTTTATTATTTTTTAAAGTTTTTTTAGATAATTTTATATTGATTGTATTTCATTGTTTTATTTTTTATGTGAATATTGTTTTCATTTTTATTTCATATTTTTTATTGGCTATTTAATATGTTATTTGTCTCAATAATGGATAAATCTGCAGAGATCGAGCAGTATTGAGTCACCAGAATGCTGCTTATTGATTGGTTGCAGTGTTGCTGCAATGCAGATTTAGTGTGTATATATGTTGGTATTCGACGTCTGTCATCCATGCTGTCAGGGCTCCAGGGTATGACCAGAGGTATGTGACTGACGCAGGGAAACGCAGGCTTCAGATATGTTATAAACAATACGATTTATTAACACTAACAATACATAAACGCAGTGCAATACTAAAACATAACACAGTGCAAACAAACCAAACCACCCACAGATAACTATACATACAATGCAAGCGTCGTCAGGCAGGCCAGGTCAATAACAAACGGGCAGGTAGGAACAGGAGGAGCAGGCAGAGAGTAGTCAGGTCACGAGCCGGGTACAGCAACTAACAGGCAGGTAGGTACAGGGGGTCAGGCAGGTAGGTACAGAGGGTCAGGCAGAGAATGGTCGGGGTCACAAGCCAGGGATCAGAACAGGAGAAGTCAGCAGAGGTCAGGATCAAACAGGGTCAGCAACAAGACAGGAACAGGAATGCAGGAACAAGATACAGGGCCCATGAAAAACACACACACCAAGGCAAAGACTGCAGGTCTGGCCATCACTTAAATACACCTGCATAAGCAGTTTCAGGTGTTTGGCTGGCTGCAGGGTTGAGTCTCTGATTGCTGGGAGCACCCTCTGGCCAGCCCTGGTACTGCAGCCCACAAGGCAGGTGAGTCCCACCATTACTGGCAAGTCCATTCCTGACAGTACCCCCCCCCCTCAAGGAGCGGCCTCAGGACGCTCCAAACAGTCCAAGCTGGGCAAAATGTTCCACCGCCCGGGTCTGGTAACTGGCGGGATATCAAAGACTGACTCAGAGCAGAGGCACACCGGACAGGACTCCGGGCAGAGGCACACCGGGCAGCGGCACACTGGGCAGGACTCCGGGCAGCGGCACACCGGGCAGGACTCCGGGCAGCGGCACATCGGGCAGGACTCCGGGCAGCGGCACACCGGGCAGAGGCGCATCGGGCAGGACTCCGGGCAGAGGCGCATCGGGCAGGACTCCGGGCAGAGGCGCATCGGGCAGGACTCCGGGCGGGCATCGCGGTGCACCGGGCAGCGGTGCTCCGTGCACCGGGCAGGGCAGCGGCGCACCGGGCAGGACTCCGGGCAGCGGCGCACCGGGCTGGACTCCGGGCAGAGGCGCACCAGGCTGGACTCCGGGCAGAGGCGCACCGGGCTGGACTCCGGGCAGAGGCGCATCGGGCTGGACTCCGGGCAGAGGCGCACCGGGCCGGACTCCGGGCAGAGGCGCATCGGGCTGGACTCCGGGCAGAGGCGCATCGGATCACCAGGCGTGACAGCGGGCACTGGGTCATCAGGCGTTGGATCGTCTGGCTCGACAGCGGGCATGGGGTCACCAGGCATGACAGCGGGCACCGGGTCATCAGGCATGATAGGATCATCAGGCTGGATCAGTTCATCAGGCTGGATCAGTTCTTCAGGCTGGGTACAGACATCAGGCTGAAGTGCGGGTGCCGAGGCACCAGGCTGAACCACGGAAGGCAGGTTCTCAGACGGCAGGCTCACCGGTTTGGATACTGGCAAGATGGTACTGGTTGGAAAGAATTTTTCCTTTTTTCTGGTTTTAACTACTGGAGCACTGCAAGTAAACGCAGGTCTGCAAACGAATGGAGCAGCTGAGGACAGAGAAGAGCTGGAGGATGGAACAGGGGAGGGAACAGTTGCTACAGAGGGCTTCTTTACAGGGTTAAAGGCAGGATAGGTGCAGCGAGTGGGAACAGGGGACTGACATGCGGTAGATAGCAGAGTATACTGGGCTGGAGCTGGGGCTGCTGTTAGGAATGCAGGAATAGAGCTTTGAGGAAATAGATTCGAAGCAGGATTGGGTTTTTGTAAGCTGACCGAGGCTGGGTGCAACAAATCTGACCATGTCTGCAGTATGGGTTGAACAAAGCTAAGCTTACACAAAGCCTGTCTGGTCAATGACTGCACTGCGTTTATACAATCCCTTAATACCTGTGGTGAACATGCAGCATAATGCTCCAAGAAGCCATCCACATCATCCTCTAATAACCATACCAGGGACTCTACATGGTCTGCACTAAATGGGGTCAAAAAGTCATCCCTGCATTCGGGGGTACCAGATGAAACCAACTCAGCACAAACCTGAATCAATGGCTGCACCTCAGAGAATTCTGTGCCCTGATCTACTAGAACATGAGCGATCCGTATACACTCTAGTAGTTCATCCCTGGGATACTCCTTCAGAGCCTGATAAGCATACTCTCTGTCATCAAACACTAGCAGAGATAAATACACAACCTCATCAAGATCCATCCTTCCCAGCAACAAGCCAAGATGGCTTCCCTGTGCAGCCACTTCTGGTCAGGATTGGCCTTGGTGTAATGTCAGGGATCCAGGGTATGACCAGAGGTATGTGACTGACGCAGGGAAACGCAGGCTTCAGATATGTTATAAACAATACGATTTATTAACACTAACAATACATAAATGCAGTGCAATACTAAAACATAACACAGTGCAAACAAACCAAACCACCCACAGATAACTATACATACAATGCAAGCGTCGTCAGGCAGGCCGGGTCAATAACAAACGGGCAGGTAGGAACAGGAGGAGCAGGCAGAGAGTAGTCAGGTCACGAGCCGGGTACAGCAACTAACAGGCAGGTAGGTACAGGGGGTCAGGCAGAGAATGGTCGGGGTCACAAGCCAGGGATCAGAACAGGAGAAGTCAGCAGAGGTCAGGATCAAACAGGGTCAGCAACAAGACAGGGACAGGAACAGGAATGCAGGAACAAGATACAGGGCCCAGGAAAAAAACACACACACCAAGGCAAAGACTGCAGGTCTGGCCATCACTTAAATACACCTGCATAAGCAGTTCCAGGGGTTTGGCTGGCTGCAGGGTTGAGTCTCTGATTGCTGGGAGCCCCCGCTGGCCAGCCCTGGTACTGCAGCCCACAAGGCAGGTGAGTCCCACCATTACTGGCAAGTCCATTCCTGACACATGCCGCCCCTTGAAGACGTCTGATGACGAACCGTGTATGGCAGGGCTTAGTGGATGGGACATTAGGACGCTCCTCGAGACTGTCGGCTGTGATCGCGGTGAGCAAGGCTCGGCCCTGCTTTAGCTTTTTGAGACTGATATTGCTGTTATTGCTGGTGTCGGTTGGACACCTTTCTTGTGAGTGCATATTTAAGGCTACAATAAAAATTATCCTTGTTTTAATATACTGCACCATGATACTCTTCTTTGATTCCCCGAGCATTTCCAAAGCTATGAAGGCATGATGACCACTTGCAGTTAAGGCTGTTCCATGTGTGCTGATTTGGCTGATTGCAGTCTATTGCTCCTGGATACTCCAACAGATCATCACTCCCAGAGCAATTGCTATTTTTGCTGATTTATAATTTGATCAGCAAATAGCTCTGGTGAGTTTACCCATTTTGTTCGGTAGTGGATTTTGCTACACGGTGTTTTTTCTTGTTTAAGAGATTTTTTAATCACTTATTTTGGTGTTTGGACTTCTATATGAATTACGGACATTTATAAATATATTTTTTATTTATGTATTTATCTGCATTTTCATGTGATTTGGTATTTAGCGCATTCCTTTATATATTTTTTATTTTATGTTACATATTACACCTTGAATATGGGTGTAACATGTAAAATGTTACGAAAGGTGAACTTATCCTTTAATAAAGTGTGCAGTACATACTTGTTTTAGTTTTAACTGTGGAACAACTGATACTGCTAAGAGCGACCTTTTTTAGTATATTTTCAGCAGTCTTGGAGGACTCATCAGAAGGAATATTGCCCTACTGTTGGCCTACTGTGGTACAGGGGTTCTTTTTCTTTTGTAGGTTTTTGTTTGACAATAACTTGCTCTACAAGCCCTACAAAATTGGCTCCACATAGAAAAAAAAATTACCAGAACTGAATAACAATTCACTTCCCACAGATGTAGCTGTATCTGCAGTTTTAGGCCTAGTTCACACCATAAGTGCAGAAAAACTGATTGAAACTGACACACAGATTTCACTTGCAGAGACATCAGTTTACATCAGTTTTCATGCGTACTTCAATGAGTTTTATACACGTTGTAGATTCCTGCGCAGAAAAAGTCTGCACATGCTACTAGTGTTTTGGTGTGAACAAGGCACATAGAAAATAAGTGATTTTGCTGTGCCCTTGCAGAACTTGTGCAAAAAAACTAACGTCTTTGCACTATGGTATGAACGAGCCCTTACAGCAAAACTCCATGTAAAATTTGTATTTTTCCATGCAGTGGGGCTGTGCCACTGCATGGGAAAACTGCTTTTTTTGTCCAGGGCTTTAGTGGAAAACCTATACTTACCCCATCCTCTGATCCTCTGGAAAGCCACAGTCACCCACGTACAGCTGTGGACTGTTCTTGCTGTCCTTATGTCGGGAGCCAGTTTATGGGTGTGATGATGTCAGGAACAGTCCAATCACAGGACCACTTGTGTGCAGGGGGGAAGAAGTATCAGGAATATCAGGAATCGATCTTGAACTCCAAGGATCGTCGGATTCGATAAGTATATCTTCACTCTTATGACCCCTTGAGCAGATGACCCATGCAGTGCTGGCAGAGCTCCACTGCATGGTCCAAAAACACGTTTTGCCTGCATTTCTGCTTTAAAGCATCATTAAAAATAACTGTCAATTTTTTTGAAAATAGAGATACTTAAAGTGGTTTTTAACCCTTAACTATACCCAGTCAAGTGACTCGCTTCAGGAGATACACAGAGCTGAAACAAATCCTCCTACATAAGTTGTAGATGTTTTTCTGCAGTCATCTCTCCTCTACATCAATTCAAAGTCCAGAATTGTTACAGCTTATCTGAACTTCCAGAGAGCAAGAGCCAGGGAGTTGAAGTTACACTCTGCAGAGCTTAGTGAGAGAGCTGATCAGAGGGAAGGGACACATCCCCTTCACACAGCACACAGGAACAGAACTGAGCCATCAATCACAGGAAGTGTATTGCAGCTCCCTCCCCTGTCACCTTTTGGTGTCAGGAAAACTTGTCAGAAGTGACTCATGCTAATAGAGGAACAAGGCAACAGACAAAAATGATACTTCATGCTCTGGATTCAGACACACTACAGAGGGACATGCTTTGTACATATTTCATGCCCAAGGTTTACAATCAATTTAACCTGGTGTTTTAGCTTTGTGAAATGAGCCTAATGTGAAATGTTTTCATTAGCTCACTTTTCTCTTATTGAACATTCCAGGGGAAACCAACTGTAAGAATTTTTAAACTACGGTTTTTGACATCTGAGATAACTTTACAGAATTAAAGAAAATTAGTTTATTGAGATACTTTAATGTTATGTGTCAAATAAAATTAAACCTATAAAGCAATTTTCTGTTTTGTCAGGGAAACCTACAACTACCATTAACAGAAACTTCCATTGTAGGTAACAGATAAATGCATAAAACTCCTTAACCTAAGACTGGACTGGTAGAGCATCTGGAAAATGATACATGTAAAACATAAACTCACAGTTAGAGATGGAAATTTCCATTTTCACAAAACTGGTCCATATGAGTAAAAGCAAAATATGTGTTTGTCACATATTTAGGTGTTTGTTCCATTTGATAGATGAGTTCATATAGTGGTAACATCACATAATAACTGGCCCAACCAGCCCCCCACCCCAAATCAGGGCATTTTTATGGGGATTTAGGCATGAATTGACAGATAAAAGTCCTCATTTTAGTACATGGTGCTAATAAATTGAGAAATCTTTGTGATGTGACATGGTTCATACCAATGCATTTTGCATTTTGTCAATTTTGCAGTGCTTTTTGCAGTGCATTGTGTTTTTTCTTGCTAGTTTTTGATGTGTTTTTGACACTTTTTTTATGCGTTTTGCAATTTTTTTTGGGGGGGGTGGGCAACTTGTTGCTGTTCAGACTAAAAAATTCAAAATATGCCAAAAACATGTCAAAAATGCACTACATGCATTTTTTGCAGCATTTCCATTGAAGTCTATTGAACCAAAAACACAATGTTTTGCATTTAAAAAAGTCACTGACTCTTTCCAAGCATGCAGTGGCTCAAAAAAGCATACATATGAATGTGTCAATTAGGAAATCATGTTAGATGGACTGTAATGCGTTTCTGCAAAAAGTACTAAAAAAAAACACATCGGTGTGAACCAGGCCTTACTCTGTTACCCCTTAGTCTGGCGCACTTCTCTTTCTTCTCCATTTACCACAGAGTCCGGTTTACTCTAGAAAGTGCAAGCCTCACGACGGTGTCCACATTGCAGCGTTGTGTATATATATGTATACACATATATATACCATCTATCTCAATCCAGTACTGTTTGCATCACAAGGCCTTTTTTCCCCTCCTTTCCCTACCCCCCCCCCCCTCCCCCCTTCCCTTTCCTCACCACTAAAGCTGCATCATCTACTTGTTGCCCCTTTATTACTGGCATGTATGAATATATATCTTAATTTCTGTTTACTGGATTATTTTGTTTAAGGTTTG